CATTGCGAGTCTATATGAGTAGGCCCTGCGTCCGCGCGGTTTTATGCTAAGTCTCACGCACGACGCTTATTTGTTTTTCCGCACCGGAAAGTTATGGGTTGGCTACCGAGGGGCTAGGAGCGTTGTCGCGTTGTTTGGGTTGTGTCGTTTTCGTGTGTGTGTATGTGTCTTTATTTTTGTAAAGTGGTGTGCGCGTGGTGTTTGGGATGCATCGTAGTCGACCAACGACGAGCCGCGCTCGGGACTTCAGCCCCCCCAAGATGTCGGTTCGCGTGCGGGTCCGATAGGCGTATTACCGCGCGTACCCCCTATGCTACAGCGAACGAGAAACACCCTCGGCTAGTCCACCTGTGCGATTGCAACTGATTAACTTTCGTACTGTGGACTGGTAGCTCAGCATGGATACGCCTGCCAAAGGGAGGTGACAGCTCCCGTAATGTGGAGGTAAGGCCCTATCTTGTCGTAGGGGCTCCCGAGAGGTATGGCTGGCGCACTCGGCCGGAGTGGCTTGTGGAAGCTCCATGTATATTCTCGACGAAGGATATAAACCAACTCCTGCGTGACGCGGCCGGAAGGGTCCCGCGCTGCCCTGATGCGGTGCCGGACCGATGCGCGCGACACTGTAATCTCGGTATGCCCTCTTCCTGTAGTTTCTCCCACTGTGTAACGTCGACGACGAGGCGGCAGACCCTATGTAACCTCTGCTTGTTTGTGGGGAAATCGGGGGAGGGGTCGCCTGCTGCTCGCCGAAGCCAAGGGCAACAACGCCTGTCACTCGCTGCGCCCGCTTCCGAGGTCCTCAGCGACCAGCAGGGTTTGTGGGGAATGCGTCGCCTGTTGTGTCCCCACTCTAGAGTCCTTAGAGCATTAGCATCTCCTTGCCCCAAACTTAGCTCTTTTCTCAATGACCATCAGCGTTATCAACAAATCAGTCAATGTTCCACTCTCGGTCAATGACAACAAGGTCAGCAAGTAAAGGGCTGCTCTATTCCCAGTGGACAGCAAAGGGGGCACCGATTCAAACACTGACTGAATTATGGTGTTCTGGGAAATTAACACTTACTGGTCTGATTAGAGTCAGCAACGAGAACAGCAACGACGCAAACACAGCTCTGTTAGGGGTGAACAACCGGGGTAGCTCAAATTTTAAGGTCGTCCGATTTATAGTGTTTCGAAGGGTGGACAGTGAACTAAACGAACTTAACTAATTAAGGACTTTTTTGAACAAGTCTCCCTTCAGAATCGTGCTAGGCTACTTTCGAGAACTCATCTCTTAGTGCGGCCCTTCTCTCGTTGCGAACTGCTCTCTCCTTCTCAGATCTCTCTTCACCTGATTCTCTCTCTTCGTTCCGTTGTTCTCTCTCGCAGTCCTCACGTCATTCTCTATCTGTTCTCTCTCTCGTCCGTTGTTTTCTCTCGCTGTTCTCAGACCATTCTCTCTCTGTTCTCTCCCTCTCTCCCTCCACAATCGCACTTCTCTTTTGCTTCGAAGAGGGAACTTGGGGGTGGTCCCCCTCTTTTTTTTTGTGGTTCACCCAAAAGTGAAAGGATTTTCAATTTGAATTTGACATACAGTTGATAGAGGACGGGCTGTCGCAGTGTAACAGCGACTGATGAAAATTAGCCCAGCAGGAAGCCGAGAAGAATTTGTTTCCGATTCAGGCGGTATGTTTCCGAGAGAATCCCGTCCTATTAGAAGCCCACGCCAAAAAAAAGAGTAGCAATATCAGATAATAAAGAAAAAGAAAAGGGCACCGTTAGCGCCAACATAGCTTTCCTTATCGGAACACCCCTACCTCACGCCTGTTTCTTTTTTGGAGCCGCGTGGCGACTCACAACTTTGCGGGAAGGTTTATGATTGTCACAATCTGCGAGAGCAAAGCCCTTCTCCCGCCCAAAGCGGAAGAGCTCGTGAATTGTCGACCAGCTAGAGTCATGTGTTTGGCCCGACCGCGGCGAGATAGCTCGTTTAGGCAATTTGCAGTAACGATGTTTCTGGCCCGCCCGCAGCGGGAAGGCACAAATAGCCAATCAGGAATGACGATGTCATTGTCCAGCTTCCAGCGGAAAGGCTCGTTAAAGCAAATAGCAGAGATAAAGCCTCTGGCCCGCGCGCAGCAGAAAGGCTCGAAAGGCCAATCAGGAATAACGATGTCTTCGACCAACTTCCTGCGGAAAGGCTCGTTAGAGCAAACAGCAGTAATAAAGTCTCTTGCTTGCACACAGCGGGAATGCTCGTGAAGCCAATCAGATGTTCTCCTTTCCACTGCGCTCCTCCGCTCTCTCGCTCATGCCTTCTCCTCACCTTCACTCACGCCTTCCCGTACTCACTTCCTTTTGCACTGCACTCTCTCCTCTCCCGCACAGTCTCTCTCTCCCTTTGCTCAGCCTCACTCTCTCTCCCGGTGTCTGACCAGTCTAACTAAGGTAGTAGCTAGGAACGCCCGGCACACACCGTCTGTCTCCCCCTGCCATTAGCCATGCGCAGTGACCGCCCGAACACGGACGCCTCAGTCTTGCTTGCAAACGCGTCTCTCCCGTCCTTACGCCGCGGGGAAACCTTGCACTCCTCCCTCTGCCGCCAACACTACGCCGACCGTGCACGCTTCTCTCTGTTGCATGCGCTGCGCCCACCGTGCAAGCTTCTCCTGCATTGACTCCGCCTGCATCCGTACTGTGACGCGGGCTGGGTACACCGTGCATACTCCCCCTGCTCTCTAGTCCCCTTTCCCTTTATGGTTTTCCCGCACAGCTGAACGTGGTCTTTCCTCCTCCCAGGTCCAAACCGTAGGCCTTCGTAGGCTGAAGGTAAAAGCAGGGCCACGCCCAGAACTGGTGCAGTGGAACCCATATACAGTCTCAGCGGGACCTGCAACTGAAACCTGCTTGTAAAAAGAAAGCCAGATACTTCCGTATGGCAGGTACCCGTGCCAAACTTGTCACTTTTACGCTCCAAAGCCAACCACAGTACTGAAAAGCAATTGTATTGTACCAGTTACCAACACAAAAGCCGAACCGCAGTCCAGCTGTTGCTCCCAACACCCAGTTACCATGCTTGTTCCGTATCTGTCCCGGATCAGAGTGTCGGGCCGAACCGGAAATAGCCACTTGACAATTCTCAGCTGCCAACACCGAACCTGAAAGTGATGTAGTGATGTGTATCATACCGATGCCGGATACCGTAGAAAACTGAAAAGCCAGGGTAGTACCGAACCTATTCCGGACCTGAAACAACCATCCCCGAGCCTGTAAAAAAAACAGACGCGTGTACCACTTCGGCGCCGAGCCAATGTCGTATCAATACCGAACCCGCAAAAGATCTGCGGCGTGTACCTCAGCGGTGCTAAACCAATGCCGAACGCGAGACAACCGTACCATGCCGATGCCGAACCAATACCGAGCCAACACCGAATCTGAGAACATGTCAAATGCCGCACAATACCGTGGTCCCAAAGCTGAAATAAAGCGCCATAGTGGCACCAAGCGTGGAATAAATGGCCGTAGTGACGGTGCCGAGCCTGGGTTAATTATCCGTGACAACGCCGAACCTGGGATAAACTGCCGCCAACGTCTCTAACCTGGAATAACTGTCGTAGTAGCCCCGGTCCTGAGAATAAATCACCGTACATATCCCAAACCTGAAAATAAGTCACCGTAGTGAAACAACTGTCACCGGCCAGACACCGTAGTACAAAGCCACTCCGTAACAACCCTCGTATCCGTACTGATTCAAACACCATAGTCGACCCAAGGTAGCACCACCCCATGCTGTCCATGCGATCGTCCTCGGACTGTCACAGTGTAGTTAGTAAATAGGTGGATCGGGAAAGTGGCACGAAAAACCTTGATCATCAGGGATTGGCGAAAAAGGTGGGGATCCAGAGAAGACTGATTAATCGGGGTTCAGAGCCGACGGTGGGAAATCCAAGGAAAATCAGGCCAAGCATCGAATAATCATCGGTTCTTGTTCGTTCYATCATTTTTAATCATCCCCCCCTTTTCTTAACTCTATTACCCGAAATAGTAAAATAACCGTAAACTTACCAAAAATAAATTCCGAGAAAGTCTTAATTAAATTGTTGAAATTCTTTGTTCCTYTTCTCCTTTATCATTTTTAATCTTTTCCTTTGTTTTCGATTCCATTGCCGGAAAACATAAAAATAACGGAGTATTTTCCCCAAAACTGAAATGCTGCGAAAAACAAGGAAATCAAGGATTATTACGTTTTTCTCTTTCCTCCTACTGTTCTCAATCTCTTCTCCCATATTTGATTTAGATACCAAAAATGACAAAAATTTGAGGCACTATTTTGACCCCGATCATACGTTGCAAAGAACGTCGCAGCGGGGTTAGTCCCCGCGATGCTCCCTCGCGGCAGGCCAATGCGGGTCTAACCCTCTGAACGGCCGGAAATGACGGTCCGTTGATGTGCCCAGTGCGACCACCCATCTTGCCATTTTTTAGGGTTACCCGTAAGGTTCAGCGCGCCAAAAATCAAGGGCGCCCTGAGGTCCCCTAATCTCCGTCGCGTGGTCTAGCCAGAGTACCGTCAAAACTCAGACTCGTCTTCGCGCCTAAGTCCCAAAACCATAGATTTCAGGCGGCGCACTGCTTGTGACCGCCTGACATCGTGACTCATCGCGTCGGTCCCCTAGGTTGTACCACCCCCGCGAGTCGTCGCTCTGCTCTCTCGCATCTCCCCGGCGCTCGAACCGCCCGCGCGACCTATCATGTCGTTCCCAGTCCCGATCTCCTCTTTCATACCTACCACCCCTGTAGCCATCTCGGCCCGACCTCTCGTATCTGTCGTCCCTATATCCGTCTCAGTCCGATCTCTCGTATCTGTCGTCCCTATATCCATCTCGGTCCGATTTCTCGTATCTGTCGTCCCTATATCCATCTCGTCGGCCCTGATCTGCCTCCCATCGGCCGCGGGAGTCGCCTCTACCCCAATCGGCCTCATAGCGAGGGCTTCGCGGGCAATCATCCAGCCTTCTTGCTCGCGCAAACGGCTCGCGATCTCTGCGGTCTCGGTCTATCTCATCGTCCCTACATCGCTATGGCTCATCGTCTCTCTCTCTTCCTCTCGTACGATAATCAGTCAGCGTCCGAGGATTTCTATCCTCGACACTCCTCCAGGAATCGTTGTTCCTACGGTCCCAGCGAAGTGAATAGGGCCCCCCAGGTTTGTCCCGGTAGGCCGTGGCCCCTGTAGTGGTTACAATCTCTGTAACCTGTCTCGTTAATCCCTTCACCATGTCCCGTATCTTCTTCACTTCCTCAGTCACAGCCTCATTCTTCTCCGACCAGGGATAATCCTTGAAATCAGGACATCTATCAGTGGCGTACTCCTTGTAGAGAGAGAAGTCACGTCTCCTCATCCCTCTCCACACCAAGTCCTTGTAATCGTCTGCCTCTGCCTTTATCGCGAGTTTTAGAACTTCTGGGAAATCAAGCCTATCGCGCGGAAGATCTCTAAGTATATTATGTTGCCTACCTTTGGACAAGTGTCCGATGAAGATAGTACAGYGCTCGACCTCTGAGATCTTCCCCTTCTTCATCAGCACGTCGGAGATCTTTTGGAAATGCATCCCAAATGCCCGTACTCTCTCATCTTCATCTTGAGTCATTGTTTCAAGGTCCTTGATGGAATACTTGTTATCCTCCAATTTGTAAAGCTCAACGAGGTTCTTCTTGTACGTAGTCCATTTCCCATCCTTCGATCGAGCGTCCTTAACTTCCCTACCAAGACTTGGGTCCACATTAAATAGGAAGTTCTCTATAATCTCTTCCTCCGACCAATGACTTCGGCTGGCGTGAAGCTCCCACTTCTCCAGATATTCTGTGATACCATAGCCCCTGAAGGTAGGAGGCTCTGAGACCTTGTGCGTAATAATATAGCGATCCTTGCTCTCGTAAGGGAGCGGATGTGACTCCCCTGTCTGGGGGCCGAAGACTCGCCTGGGCGGCGCCCTTTCTCTATCTCTGTCCCTCCAATAGGAATCCCTTAAATTCTCTCTCCAGTCGTCTCTGTACCTATCCACTAAGGTGTCCCTCTGCTCGTACTCAGGGGAGCGTCGCCTCGTCGCTTCTCGTCGTCCGCTCGAGGTACCCGTCTTTAGAGCCTCCTGCGGCTCTGTCGCAACTGGTTCGCCTCTTATGTCGGGCCCTCCGTCATTGGTTTGGTAAGCCCATCTCAGCGGTGCTTCTTGCCTAATTCGTTCCTTCAGATCCCTCAGTGCTCGATCGGGCGATGTCTTGTACTCCTCTCCCGCTTCGCCCGTGGTCGGTTGTGGCTCCATCGTGTCGGGTTCCATTGGACCGCCAGAAGATGCAGTTAGGTATTCTAGCCAACTGTTACAGCCCGACCCTATGACAGTCGCTGCAGCCCGGACATGTGACAGTTGCGGGAGCCCGGACCCGTTTCCTTGTCACGGCTCGCGTCCGCCTCCAATCTTAGCTCTCGACTGCCTTGATTACCACCTCCAGTATCCCGTACCGCTCGCAGACCTCGTGTTCTCTCTCTATCCCAAGAATCCCTGTGTCTAAGTAACCTCTCCTTCGGGATCGGCCAACAAGGCCGTGCCTGTCCGGATCTGCAGTACGCCCGTGACAGGACCTCTATCCTTGAGACAGATCGCAGTCCCAAACCTAGCCAATGTCTCCTGATCAACACCCCTCAAGAGTCTCCGAGCGTCTCTCTCCGTCCTCCTTG